TCCAAGGACCTGTCACCCAGGGAGGCTGGGAGCCAGTGGAAACCTGTGACAGCCCTGGACAGGAGGGCTCCTCAGAGGTGGATAGGGGTGACTCCGGGGAAATTCCTGGGTGTGGAGAAGGGGCGGCAGCAGGCACATGGATTCTTTCTAGAGGGGAGACAAGCCACTTGGACATGTGTGTGTGGAGGGAGTGGTGGGTTATGTCGTGGTGGTGGCACAGGGAGGGTCACGGGAAAGCCTAGTCCTCTGTGCTGTTCTTCAGGCTCCTGGAGCTTGCCCCACCATCTCTCTCTAAGGGGTGCGAGCTGAGTGTGCTAGAGCCAATGGGGGCAGTGAGAAGAGGGGTCTTAGCCAGAAAGCTGTCCAGTGGGGCGGTCCGTGGCCAAGTCTACAATGAAATGACCTCCCCGAGGGCTGGGCTGGAAGGCCCTCCACCGGCTGCAGCCCAGGGCTCCTCCACTGCCTCCAGCCCAGAGCTCACTTCTCAGCCCAGGGAGCTGCTGCTTGTCTCGGATTCCGCAGGGGCAGGGCAGCGGGTAACTTTCACCAACATGGGGCTCGGTTGTCCCTGATTGTTCCCCCTCTGTGGCAGCTCAGTTCTTCAGGCCCACTTCCCCTTGTCGTGTATCTCATGGCTCACCCCCTGCCCTGCCTTTTACCTTTGAGACAAGGGCTCTGCCCATAGTCCAGGTCCCCGCTTCAGGGACAGAAAACAGATGTGGAGCAGAGTTGGTTCCCCGTGGAAGGTCAGTGAAGGCGGGTCCCTTTTGAAAGGGGGCGAGGGGAGTAGCACAGAGGCAGGAAGGTGCTCCCCTGTGTCCTTAGTGAACATCCAAGGACACCTTTCCTGAGCAACTAGGGGCACATGGTATGTAGCTTGTTCCCCTGGACATGGGTCTGCTTGAGTTCCTCTGAGCCGGGATGTGTCCAGGCAACGTTGTCCCACTGTCACTGGGCTCACACCTGGTTCTTACTGCGCCTTCACTTTCCATTCTTGGGAGCTGGGAGGGGAAGGACCACAGACAGTCTGCAATCCCACAAACACTCTAATGTGACAGCAGCTATGGAAGTTTCTGGAAATCTCTACCAACAGCCCCCCTGCTCTCCATTCCCTAGCCTTTCCCTAACTCTCTGCAGGTATTGCTGGGTGTGAAATAACAGAATCTCAGGGACACAGCACTTACTTCACAGAGCCCTCACCTGGGAACAGGGCTCCTGAGGGCGGCCCTGAGTCTGAGCGCTGGGGCCGGAGCGGCAGAACCTGGCCCATGTTAAGTGGTCTCTGCTCTTGGCTCTGACACTCAGGTGCCTGCTGGGCTGGTGTGTTCAAGGCTTAGGTCAGGGTGCCTGGGGCCTTCTTGTGCAGACACAGCTATTACTCAGGAGTTTCTGTGCTGTTGTGCAAGACCAGGGGGGAAGAGAGTGATGTACATCGAGGAAAAGGAAGACTGAGGAGGTGGGGCCCGAATATTCCAGACACTGCCTGTCCTCAAAAGCCCTTTGGGGGCCTAGAACTTACCTTGGACAAGGTCGCTACCACCAGTGTAGGGTCATTTCCCGCAGGTCGGATTTCTACCCAGTACAATGTCTTGGGAGACAGTCTCTGAGGCTGGCATTGTCGGGTGCCCGGGAGTCCTTAGGGAGGCTCTCAGAGTCAGCACTGATCCTTCTCACAGACAGTGGTCAGGGAGCAGGCTCTCCAGGGGCACAATTCTCACCTGGAGGTCAGAGCATGACAGTGACTTGAGGATATTTGCCAGTTCCACAGTTTGCCCCATCCAAATGGCCCTCGTGTTGAGACTCACTGCCCTGACTCCCGGTGGCTAAAGGGGATCCAGAGCCCCTCAGTCCCTTTGGCTGGTTCTCCTGCTCCATTCACCCATCTCCTTTGTCTCAACAGCAACTGCAGTGCTGGGAGCAGATGTGACCCTGAATCCTGGTGCCTCCACGACTCCTTTCATGACCAAGTCCTTTCCTCCAACCACTACTGGCCCCGCACAAAGGCTGCCTTGGGAGCAGCACCTTCTACCCCTTACAACCCCATCATTCCTTCCTGGTCACCCCCTGGTGCTGCCAGCTTTGCCCAGGTCACCTCTGGTGGCAGGAGATGCTGGTCAAGGCCTTGGTGGGACTGGGATTTTCAACATTGTGGGCCAGGTCAGGTCAGAAAAGGGGCAACCACAGACCTCCCAGACTCAGACCACTGTTCTGACTCAGGCCACCCTCAACAGGAGTGCTTCAGAGGCCCTCTGTGGAGGTGCTGCATGTCCTGCACCCCTCTTCTTGGAAGCCTCTGCGGTGGAGATGATTATACCCACCTCGGCTTTTGGGGGCACCCAGGCAAGCGAAGGAGGCTGGCATCCCGGCCTTCCAGCTCAAGCTCCACCACCAGCTGCCCAGCTGGCCCCCATCGTGCCCTCGGTGAACCCTGGGGCACGGCCACATGGGGTTTCCAGGGAAGGTGGCCANTGACCTCGATGAACCCTGGGGCACGGCCACATGGGGCTTCCAGGGAAGGTAGCCAGGGCACCTCCCGGCCCAAGGCCTCGCCAGATGACTCCTGCAACCCCAAGAGTGTGTACGTGAACTTCCGACGTTGGCAGTGCTTCAAGGCCCTGGCCCGGGAGCACCTTCCCCAGAGTCCTGATGTGGAAGCTCTTTCCTGCTTTCTCATGTGAGTGCCCTGGGCAGGGCGCAGGGCTCACCTGGAGCTCTCACCTCAACGAGGAACGTGGGAGGGGCGTGCAGGCTGGCTGACCCCGGGATACTGGCAGGAAGGTCTGTGGGTGGTGTCCCATCTATAGGGTGGGAGTGGACGGTCAGCCTCGAGTCCAGGTTCATGGCTGGCGCGAATGTGAGGCAGGAACCACAGTAGCCGGGACGGGTTGTCTTTCACACACAGACGCCTCCCCCACCCCGGCCAGCGCTCAGTCATGCTGGGAGGGCTGGGGACATGTGCTCCTCAGAGCTCGGGTGGTCAGGCGGGTGGAGGGCAGGCTGTAGCCCCGGACTGACCCTGAGGTATTACACACAGCCCAGAGCTCCGGTCCCTGTCCCGCCTGAAGCCCACCATGGCGCTGGAGGAGGGAATGTGGCGGGCCATGCACAAGTGGCAGTNTGGAGGAGGGAATGTGGCGGGCCGTGCACGCGTGGCAGGGCAAAAGCAACTTTGACAGGAGGATCTATCACGAGATGGCAGACAAGTGAGTCAGGGGCCTTGTTCCCAACAGCTGTGGGCAGGGGAGCTGACTGCGGTGGGTGGTGGGCCCACTGCAGGGCAGGGTCCAGCTGTGATGATGCTCCTCAGAGAGGGTGCTGGGCGGAGGGCTGGCGGCCAGCACACGGTCCTCCCAGCCCAGAGGCCCTTCTCCTCTGGAAGGCTCTCCCTCACCTTCAGAGCGTGGGTGCTTCTGTCTTACCTCCCCCGCGAGCCCCACCCTCCTCTGATCTTGACCCTCCCTTGGCTGGACATGAAGGCCCAAGACAGGCTGGGGCGAAGGTGCCCAGCCCAGTGGGGTCAGACTCTACCCAGAGGGGCTGTGCAGGGCATGTGCCCCGCCAGCCCGCCTCCTGCGTCCTCGGTGGCCCGGCCCTGACAGCCCCAAGGCCCTGGCTCTCCCCTCCCTCCATCAGCTGTTGCCTGTGTTGCGCCCTGGCGGCCTCCTTCTCAGCTCAGCCCGTGCCCCTCACCCCCCAGGTTCATGGAGTTCGAGGCGCAGGAGGAAATGCGGTTTCAGAAGTTGCAGTTAAAGANGGCGGCCTCCGTCTCAGCTCAGCCCGTGCCCCCCACCCCCCAGGTTCATGGAGTTCGAGGCGCAGGAGGAAATGCGGTTTCAGAAGTTGCAGTTAAAGAAGGGGGCGCAGGGACAGCCTCCTCCAGCCCCACCAAGGCCTGATCCTCGGGGGCCCCGAGCCCCAGTGGTGGGCCCACAGCCAGGTACGCCAGCAGGATCCCCCAGGACCCCTGGCCAAAGCAACAGGGCCTAGGGCAGGCCCCTTCCCCACCCACATCGGTCCTTTTCCTTCAAGGGGGCTCTGGTTTTCAACTGAAACAGCCCTGAGAGCCAGAGCCTTAGCCGCCCTTTGTCACCATGGGGTCTAGACCTGGTTGGCTTTCTTAACCCCTCTCCCAACTCCCTGTCAGAGGACCCAACAGAAAGTCTGCTGAGAGGCGGGCTGGGTGGGGGGCCCTTGGAGAATCGGTGGTTCCACACATCCTCACACATGACTCCCTTGGATGCTCCCCTGGGCCCTCTCCCCTGACACGGTCACACAGCTTCAGGTGGTCCTGACCCAGCCACACTCATGTTAATGCCCCCAAACACTGCCCTCACCATCGAGTGCTCAGGAGGTGGAAGCCTTATCCCCTCACCCCCCTCCTCTTCCCTCTCTGCCCAGCTCCCACTCCCAGGAAGGCTGCACCCACGGCCCAGCGAGCCCGCACACCCCAATGGCCCCAGGAGACGGAGTCACCCGATGGGATCCCCCCCGCGGCCGTGCAGGAGTACATGGACCTCATGGACGAGCTGCTGGGGCTGGGCCACTCAGCCGCAGGGGAGCCAGGTGGAGAATGGGAGGATGGAGGAAAGGACCTGCTGCCGGACAAGGGTCTCCTGAGCTACCTGGACCAGCTGTGCTGCCAGCAAGACTTCGTCGCCGAGGTGGGCTGGCTCTGAGCTCTGGGGTCTATAAGATTCCAGAGGGTGGACTCCAGCACCCAGGGCCTGAGGTCTCTTCTTTGTCCCTGAGCTTGGTGCCTGAGTGTGTGTGTGTCTGTGTGTGCATGTATGCACGTTGTGTGTGTGTTCTGTGTGGTGTGTGCTATCTGTATGTATGTGGTTGTGCCCTTGTCTTTGCATGTAAGCGGGTGTGTGTGTCTGCCTGTGTGTCTCTATGTGTGTCTGTGTGTGGTTGATGACTGTGACGGACTAAAACACCCACTGTGTGCATGAGGATAGGGTGGGTCTTTGCTTTCTCACTTGTCCTCCAGGTCCTGCTGACTCACAGGTTACTCCCTGCCAAGGGTGCTCACTGCCCCTTCCTTCTGTCTCAGGTGGATGAGGTCATTCACCTCGGATTTTTAAAACAATTGCTTTCCCCGGACACGCGGCAGGATCCCCTGGCTCTAGCTGAGGAGTTGGAGCAGGAGGAAGGACTCACTCCTGCCCAGGTGAGCCAGGGGAGGGCAGGACCTTAGGAAGATGGGAGGGGACTCCAGGTGAGCCAGGGGATGGCGGGACCCCAGGTGAGTTGGAGGAAAGGACAGGCCTTAGATGAGTCAGGGAGGGAGAGACTCCAGGTGGGTCAGGGGTGGGGGGACCCCAGGTGAGCCATGGGAGGGAGCACCCAGGGAGACCAGGGCAGGGAGCAACCCAGAAGAGGGGCACACATGGCTCTGTCCAGCCAACCCCTTTCTGTAGGCACGGCTTGCCAAGGGGCCAGCCCTGGGGTGGGTGCAGTGCAAAACCACAAGAGGAGGGGACTATGGAGAGAAGAGGGTGACAGGAAAGAGAGGATGGGAGGGAAGGGGAGGAAAGGACACACAGCTGGGAATATGGCCCAGGGGGATGGCAGGAGAGCCACATGTCTGTTTTGGATTTGAGTTACATTGTCTTCTCCTGTCCCCTTCCCCCCAATCCCACTGTCCCATCACCCACGCTCCTCCTCCTGGCACACCTGTGTGCAGAGCCAGTCACTGTCCCTCTCTTTCCCCCAGCTGGTAGAGAAGGGACTCCTGGCCTCGGAGGAGCAGGAGGGTGGGCAGGCACCCCCGAGTCACGGCGCTCCCCTGTTAGACCCAAGTCCTTCTGAGTCTGCAGTGGGCCAAGATGCCCAGAGGCGTGACCACGGCCCCCAGTTGGGGGTGAATGACAAAGCCTGCCCACAAGAGACTGACTTCAAGGACCGTCAAAGGCACATTCGAGGAGATGCCAAGGTGTCCAGGACCAAGGAGCTTTCTGTCTCTTCAGGACGTCAGGAGTACCCACCACTCCTGGGTCAAGGGGTCCTCTCTCCTCCCCAGGGTCACCGGCAGGCTTACTCTGGACTGGGACCCAGGGACGCCTCCATTCCCAGAGAGACCTCGCTTGTTACCGAGACTCTGGGGCCAGAGGGCAGGTCCAGTGCGGATGAGGAGGACCTCCCCAGCCTGGCCTTCCTCTGGGCCTCTCCTAAGAGCCTGCTGCCCTGTCAGCTCTCTCTGAGTCCTGTCCCTGCCTCAGGCCCTGTCTGCCCTGGAGGTCGGGGGCCCCGGGGAGCTGCCCAGTCCCAGTTCTTTCAGAGACTTGGCCTCAGCCAAGCTTCATCTCCAGCTTCCAAGTCTCGGGAGCGCACTCTGGCTGGAGGCCCAGCCCGTGCTGAGAAGACCCCCCTCCCAGGGGCTGACCTCAGGGCCTGTGGGAGGCCAACACTGGCTTTGGGGCTGGTCGGCCCCTCACAACCTCAAAAGAGAAAGTGTGATGAGTCTGTCACAGGGAG